ACTGGACCGGCCAAAAATGCAAAATGAAATTTTCAAACAAACGGTGCACTCCTCCTTTACGGAGTGCAATTGAACGTACGTTCGGGTGTGGAAAAGCCCGATGGGGATTCCTACATAACAATGCCGCGATTGATTTTCGAAAAGTGCAGGTGCCATTGGCCGGGCTCAATGGCAATACATATTTCATACGCCGCAACTCGAGCGAACGATGAAGCATTCAACAAGGTTGCGAATGCAGAGAAATTTTATTGTTCAACGACATCCCAAATGTTTGACGGTCTTGGTGACGTGAATGATGGTGAACGAGAAGGGTGGCGATGACGTAACATTGACGAAGTGAGGAAATTAATACGGAATGAATTAGTGCGCATCGGCGCAACTTGGGTTCTAATCCTGTTTTGTTCATACGAGTTGATGCAAACGAAATGAATGTGTGAAACTATTTAAAGTGTCAAAAAAATGTACGGTTGTGTTTTCTAAACTTGCAGGTTGTGAAGGCGTTTACCAGTTTTGTAATAACAAAATTAATTTAATGTAAATGGCGTAATTTGTTGGCAAAAATTAAGAAAATAAATATCCAATTTCGATTATGATAATAAAAATAATTAACAAAACCTGTAATAATAAATAGAAAAAAGATTTGCTAAAGGTTTTTTTTTTGGTCATTTTGCAAATAATTGTTTAGAAAATTTGCTAATTGTAACAATAATAAAAAGAAATACATTTACAATAAATTTGTAATAATAAAAAAATAAATTCGTAAAAATGAAAAAATAATAAATTTGTAATCAATAAAAATATTTTGGTGATAATTTGCAAATTGTTATCAATAATAAAAATAAATAAATGGTTGAAAAATTGTAATGTAAATTCAAAAAAGTGTTCACATACACAAGGGCAAAAAATCGTAAATTCCTTCAATTGCCTAAGGGTATTTTGGTCATTTTATAGTGATGCAACACTTTAAAAAAATATAAACCAAAATGTAAAAAAGTCACTTTTAACCAACTTCCCAAATCGCCTACAAAAAAGCTAAAAAACTTGTAAATAGTCAAAAGTCAACTTTTTACCAACTTTTCAAAAACACTAACTTATTTTTATTTTGTGTTCACTTTATTCATGGGGAAGAATTGATTTTGTACAAACTTGAAGGGACAGAACATCAAATGGTAGTTTGAAAGAAGAAATCTTAAAGGAATGTATGGTTTATATTTTATTTTTCGTGTTCTTAAAAATAAAGTAGCGATTAAACAAAGATATGCATCAATTTTATTTTTGTTATGAAAAACAAATTTTAGAATGTTTTTTTTCCTGAGTCAGGTCTAGAACAGACCCCAACAAGGTAATTTTTTTTCACCTAGCTCTAGAATTACAAGAATTAAGACCTCATTGAAAAGGGTGTTTGGTTTTGACGTTTTCTGAATTAATGTTTTTAGAAAAATTGAATTTTTTATTTTTCATATTTTTTTTGTTTTTTAGTGAATATTTTTAAATTTTAAATAATTTTTTTACTTTTTTAAGATGTACCTTACTTAGATGTATTTAAAAAGTAAAAAATTTGGTGAAAAAATAATTTTTAAAAATTAATAAATACATAAAAATACAAAATGTAATGAATTCTTGTATTTTTTTTATATTTTGGTATTTAGTGAATTTTTAAAAAAGGTTTTTTCACAATTTTTTTACTTTTTGGTATATTTATGTTAGGTATAAATCTAAAAAAAATAAAAATGATTAAAATATTAAAAAAATTCAATAAAAAAACAAAAAATACAAAAAAAAGAAAGTAGACATTTTTCTGAAACTGTTTTCAGAAAAACGAAACCAATTAATTTAAAAATCAAAAAATTATTAAAAAAATTTAAAAATCTACAATTTATATAAAAATCAAAAGAATTCCTTTTATTTTTATTTTTTATCCATCTTTTCGTAAAAAATTAAAAAAGTTATTTAAATATAACAAATTATTTTTATTTCATATTTTAGTCACAAAAAAAATCAAAAAAAATTATTAAAATAATATGCCCCAAAACAAGTCTTAAAGTTGGTACAAAAATTTAAATATAGACTCATGAAGTATAATTTTTTATTATATTTAACAAATAAATAAATAATTTATTTTTGTTTTTGTTTTTGTGTTTTTTTTTATGCATCACGAATCTGATAGTCATGAACCATAGCGTAATGTTGTCCCTTCCACCTAACAATATGTGACGAACCATATGCCTGACGTGACTCTGTTGGCGTCTTCCCTTCCTGTTGATGGCTTCGCTTTGTTTGGTGTCGAAAATTCCCTTTCTTCGCTTTGTTTGGTGGCGATTCTTCTTTCTCAATCAACAAGTGTCCCTCTACCTAATTAACTAAACTCATTTAGGGTTATTTTGGAATTTAATTTTACATCAAAAAAAAATATTAAAAAGTCATGGCAACGAAATTAACTTTTTCTTTCTATTTTTTTTTTTAAATCTTTTTCATAAGTTAAAAATATTTCAAAAATTAATTTCTAAAAAGCAATCCTAAAGTTAGTTTGTCCAATTGGAACTTTTTAAAACTCCGTTGAGAATATAAATTTGGACTAAAAGAATTAATATAGGGCAAATTTACTATTTTAATCAAATAAGGCGAAATGTTATATCCAACTCCATAATTATTTTCATTTTCTCTCACAAAAGTTAAAAAAAATCAAATTCTTCCCCAAACGAGACTTTTAGCCCCAGACTAGAACCAAAAAACCAACGCTACATCCCAAATGAATTTTTACTGATTTTTTAAAAATTTCATGAAGAGATTAAAAAATAAAGGAATTGGTTTTTTTTGTTATTTTTAAATTTTTTGCTAATTTCAGGATTGGTTTGGAACTTCATCTTTTAGTCAAAAAAGTCAAAAAGTTATTATAATATGTTGTTACATCATTCCTCTAACTTTTACACCATATTTTTTAAAAGTCAAAAAATTATTAAAATAATATATTCCCAAACGAGGCCTTAATTTGAGTTGACTTAATTGACTAAACTTTAGCCTATTTTCAAAAGAAAGTCATGGGTGTTTTGGATTTAACCTCCTTTTTCCTTTTCTTTTTTTTTTTTGTGATTTTTTTATTTATTTATGAGAGTACGTATAAAAAATAGGAGAGAATGATTTGATATTTTGTATAAATTGTTTAGCTAAAAATTCACCTTCCCAAACAGGCCTAAGTTTCACACTATGCCATGTTTGGACAACCTTAGGAGCATTCAACACCAGCCTTTTCTAAATTTTTAGTTAAATTAGAGCTAAAAACTAATTTTGCTATTTTAGCACGCCACTGCAATCAAACTTTTTATTTTAACTCAATCCTGTTAAAAATCTTATTTTGTTATTGTTATTTTTTATTCTTTTCTTTTTTTATTAAATTGATGAGCCAGCACCCAAACAATTCTAAAAAAAGCAACCAAAAAAAAAAAAAAATGCCGTTGACTAGCCTGAACATCGTAACACACAACCCCGCTTGTTGTAGCGATGAACAGTTGCCACGTTTATAAGAGGAGGTACGTAAAGCACCTAGCAAAATGAATGAAGGGTATAACGACGACTGATGGATTCACCATATTTACAAAGCGTTGGCTCTCTACAATAGCATCCAAAAGCCATTGTAGAGAGGCTAATGCTGATGCTCCTTATAAGTTGAAATTAGCACAAGGCCGAGTGATGATTTTAGTCAAAAAACTAAAAAGTCATAAAAAAAAAAATAAAAGCCAAACAACTTATACTAAAAAGTAAATATTCAATTTTCTCTCACTTTTTGCATATCTCAATCTTAAGCATACTAGTTTTTTTAAAATCACATATTTTAGCTAAAACACTAAAAATTACTAAAAAAACTTGTTTCCAAACGAGATCCTAAATAAAAAATTATATCTCCTAACTTTTAAATAATTAATTTTTTTAAAAAAAAAATTTAAACTTTGTCCATCTAATAAACCTGTAAACCAAAATTATTATTACATAATTGGGCACAGGACTCATAAAAACAAAACAAAAAACAAACAAAAAAAATAATGATTTCATTGGTGATAAAGTCCACTTTATGGTTCTAAAATGTTATCAAATTAATGAATGATCTGTTCTAATTTTTCCAAGAATATGATTAATGAAATATAACTGATAAAAAAAAATATTTATTGTCTTAAATTTAAGATATAATTATAAAAATATATTATGAAAGCATAATCAATTATTTTTAAAAAAGACATTTGTTTTTTCCATTTGTATCGCTTGCAATTTTTTTTTATCTTTATTTTCCTCTCTATTCCTCACATACTATGGCCCATCACGTCGCTCCGAATATTCACTTTTGCCGAACGATGAGAGATTAGTTTATATTTTATCAAATTGACGATTTTACCCTTGAAAAATCTAATGATATCTTCAATTGTTCTTATTTGGAACAAGATTCAAAATTTATGGTCAAATGTGCCACAATTGAAAAGTCAGGGACCAAAGTGACACAAACCGTAAACTATGGGGACTATTAATATAATTCACCAATTTATTAATTTTTTAAAATATTTTTTCATAAATAATTTACCATTTAGATAATATATATAAGTTACATCTAAAAAAATAAAAAATTACTTAAAATTTTAAAAATATTTACTAAAAACAAAAAAATATATAAAAACAAAAATTTAATTTTAAAAAAATTAAATTTAAAAAATTGAAACCAAACCACCCGTATATTTTTATATTTTGTGTTATGAGAATTGTATTACCAAAAATACCACCATTTATGATAGGGCAAGTCAAGTCAACTGGCCATTTTGTTATCCATTGGAATCTCGTGAACTGGTCCTCCTTTAACTCAACATATCAGCAATTTGATACATATCATTCATCCTTCACGAGTCCCCATGACTCCTCTCACCATCTCCATATAAGAGTCAAGCTTATTTGAGCACTTTAGTTCACCATACCAAGGAATTGATGAAGCTCTCTCTCTCTGTCTCTGTATATGATATACCATGGATGCAGAAAGTAGGAAGAGGAAGATGGAGAATGAAGAAGAAGATGATGATGAAGAGAAGATGCAGAAGTTTTTCGCCTTGATAAGAAGCACACGAGACGCTCGCGAACGGTTTATGAGCGGTGCTGAAAAATTACAGGAGGAAGAAAAGAAGAAAGGGAAGCCAGCGGAGGCTTGGAACCCGTCGTTCCAACCGGAGGATTTCATGGAGGGTGGTGGTGATCAGTCTAAAGGTCCTCCTCCTCCTCAGGCAAGCCTAGCACTAGCACTAGCAGTAGCAGGTCCTTCTAAAAGAGAAGATGAAGCTAAAGAACAAGAACAAGAAGAAGAAGAAGATCATAAAGGAGGTGACAATGATGGGTTAGACCTCAAGCTTTCATTGTAATAGCAAAAGTCAAAGAATGTACAAGGCTGGACTTTTGGGCATGTTGACATGTTTTCAGAATGATCTAGCTGTTCACAATTCACATAGGTTTCATGGGTTCACCCCCATCGTCAACATAAAAGCAGAGATACAAAGAGGGGCTAATCTTTCTCCTTGATTTTCGCTGCATAATTGCACTTACACATTACATAATCACCACTCACAAGCCTGCACTAAAACAAATGCTTACGAATGAGTTCACAAACACAAAAAACTGGCCACAAAATAGGACACATAACGTATATGAACGGATAATATATTTAAAAGTGGATCTTAATAACAAATCATGCAAAATTCTATCTATTTATGTGTATTTTGTGTTCAATTTTATGATTGATTTTTGTGCTTGTAGCAGAACTGACAGTCATTTACCAATGCAGGGATGAAATAGAATTCAAACTGGATTGCATAAAAATGTGAATCACATTGGTCACAAAGCTTAGCACCAACTATGGTGTTTCACAATCTAGAGAGGATGTCCCAGTCTAATACCTTTACTCACATGAGATTGCAAAGAAATGAAATTAATAATATTAAAGTAAATTTTCTAAGACAATATGTCCATAAATGCTTTTATGGTCCAGATAAATTGTTTCCTATGTGGTGTGCATTTTTTCGTTCAATGGTTAAGACTTGGCCTAATAACCTTAAGGTTATGGTTTCAAGTCTTGGGGCCACCACTTTGTGCATTATTCTAAAGGTTAGGTGTGTACTCAATCTTTTCCCTCCCAAACACACATTAATGTGTACTAATTGGGCGTTTTTTTTTTTTTTTTTTTGTGCATTTTTTCGTCTATTCTCTACTATTTGTAAGTTTCAATTTCTCTTCTTCCTATTTATATATATATTATGTAATCAAAAAGAGAAAAATATGAGGGAAAATATAGTAAGAACTCCTCAGGATGATACTATTTCAACAAATTCTAGTTTCATGCTTTCATCTAGGTGTGGAGTGCTCAAGATTGCCTTTACTTGGGATGGTCTAACTTTGCCAAAAGTTATATCTACTTAAGCAAAATATTATTTAATCAATAACATTCAGCAGGCTTTATACCGTACTTAGTGTAATAATAATGATAATATATTATAATTTACAACATAAATGTTGGAGAATAAACTTGATTTTTCTAGAGGATTCTATATACACAAGACATAGGAATTGAAAGGATATGCATGCCTTTTATAAATAGTTAGACATCGTCAATATATTAATATTAGATTTGTTGATACAGTTTATCCCAGTGAATGGAGCGAACTGGTCCAAGCTCCTCAAGTCCAAGCCCAAATGATCGAGCCCACCGGATAACCTGCAAACAAGTTCAACGGGAAACAGGGTAGTCCCCCAGTGAACCCTCCGACGAGCAAGTTAGGAAGAGAAGTAGAGTATAGAGGGAGAGATTAGAGATAGAAAGCTTAACCTCTTTCTTGGTTGGGCAGAATATCTAGAGGTGGTGGAGGAGGCATCGGAAGGTTTCTTTGGAGTAAATCATTTATCAAGGTCTAGTTTTGCTCGGCCATGCGGTTAATGCTGTTGGTAAGCTCGATAAAATACTGTGGTGGGTTGTTTGGATTGGGGGGGTCGGCCTGATGGTCGGCAGCATTATTGTGAGAAATCATGGATCTAGTCGTGATCATACACTTTGATGGGTAGGAGAAAAAGGTTGTTGGAACGGGGTCTCCGGCGACAGTGAACACAACTGGCGCGAGGAGCAAAGCGTTCCCACAGACGGCGCTAACTATTGATACAGTTTATCCCAGTGAATGGAGCGAACTGGTCCAAGCTCCTCAAGCCCAAGCCCAAATGATCGAGCCCACCGGATAACCTGCAAACAAGTTCAACGGGGAACGGGGTACTCCCCCAGTGAACCCTCCAACGAGCAAGTTAGGAAGAGAAGTAGAGTACAGAGGGAGAGATTAGAGATAGAAAGCTTAACCTTTTTCTTGTCTTCAACGTGATATCCTTTGGCAATCATTTCGTTGTCCCTTCCGACCTACTCTCCTCCACGAAAGCCTATGCTGTAGCTTACCTTGCTCAGGGTAAGGGGGTCCTGTTCCGACGGAGAGGTGTTGTCGCAATAAATGCTGTGATGGGCTGTATTAATGGTGATGTGCAGTGACAATAACTTTGCAGATCTTTGTCGGCTGATGTGGCTCATCCTTCTCTTGCCGTGTGTCTGAATGTCATTGGCTCTTTATGCCATGTTGGACTCTAGCTGTCCTGGACCTCACCGGCTGGGTTATGCACTGGGCTCCAAGTGATGGGCTTGGATTGTCCATAGGTGATTCATGGCCTTTATGGGCTTATACACGTCAGTAGAGTCCCCCAGTGAACCCTCCGACGAGCAAGTTAGGAAGAGAAGTAGAGTATAGAGGGAGAGATTAGAGATAGAAAGCTTAACCTTTTTCTTGTCTTCAACGTTCGCTTATATCCTTTGAAAATCATTTCGCTGTCCCTTCCGACCTGCTCTCCTCGCCGAAAGCCTATGCTATAGCTTACCTTGCTCAGGGTAAGGGGGTCCTGTTCCGACAGAGATGTGTTGTCATAATAAATGCTATGACGGGCTGCATTAATGGTGATATGCAGTGGCAATAACTTTGCAGATCTTTGTCTGCTAATGTGGCTCGTCCTTCTCTTGCCGTGTGTCTGAATGTCATTGGCTCTTTATGCCATGTTGGACTCCAGCTGTCCTGGACCTCACCGGCTGGGTTATGCACTGGGCTCCAAGTGATGGGCTTGGATTGTCCATAGGTGATTCGTGGCCTTTATGGGCTTATACACGTCAAGATCAAAGGCGATGTTGGAAATATACAGATTAAATGCGGGTACATAACTTAAAATAGATACATATAAACCCATGTACTCTAGACATTTTGTTTCAAGTGGAATGAAAGTTTCTAGTATCCTTTTCATCTCTATTTCTCTCTCTAAGCTTGTTTGTGGTACGACAAGAAGCCTGCAAATGGAATGGGCCAATTTCGAATGCCTCAACTCACAAAAGGTAACCATGATAATTGATGCATTCGTATGAAAGTAAATTTAGGAGGACAAGGTTCATGAGAGATTGTAGTCAAAGACTATGAGGAGCCTTAAATGAAGATTCCTTGACTCAAGGACAAAAGGATACTTTGGAGCCTTAAAATAAAGAATCGTCGACCCATCTCTTATTTCCAAATTCCAAGAGGGGCAATTATATAGGTGCGATGCACATTATTTGTATGTTATACTCGCGCGCACACAAAATTTTTTCTGCTTATTAAAATTATTTTTGTTTCAGGATAGATCATCTTCTGGAAAGGAACCAAACATATGTATGCATATGGCTTAGGTTTCAGTAGTGATTGGTACCACTAAACCACCACTAATGAGGTGAAAAATCAAAAAAAAAAAAAAAAACAAGACACAGCAACACTATGGCAGTGGGTGGGACCCATGCCACATCATTAGTGCCACCACTAATTAGTGGTCTCAAACATTTTTGGCTTAGGTTTATATCTGCATCTTTACTGTCCCATTGGCGTATTTTCAGGTCATTTTATCAGAAGACTAGGGTGTGCCGATGCAAGGAAGGAAATCATAATAGTTGTTTGGACTTTAGTATAGCAATCTGTCATTTACATGTAAAACATAATATACTTGTAATTTTGATTTGTTGTTTTGCACGGGTATTTTGATGAATATGGAATCATTCGTGATATTGTACACAGTCATATACTCCAGACAATTGCATTACTTGCAATGGAGCCAACAATAACTGCGTCAATGGAGGCTAGAGGCTGGAACCCAATTTTGAGAAGAAGACGGCTGGGTAACTGTAGACACCCCACTTTTGACCGTCCTCAAAACTTGGACGTCATCATTTGAACACCCGATGATTGTGCTCGCTCGTGTTCAATTTGAGTCTTTGAAGGTCTCGGCTGAGCGCCTTGCCTTGGAGCCTATAATCTTGTCTGTTTTGTACTTGGTTGTGGACCAAGAGCTTGTTGCTTTGAATCTAGAGGAGAGGGTGGCTTGTGCCTGCCAGCTATCAGTGGTGGCCAGTCGACCACACTGATGGCCGGTCGGCTAGTTTGATGGCCAATCAGCTGCTAATGATGGCCAACGGTCATTTTTCTTCTTTTTCAGATATTTATTTGCCAGTTGTGCCAGCTGTTGATGACTGATGCTCATCTCCATACATGTGTATGGAGAGATGAAGGCAAGCCTTTGGCTTGTTTTTTTATATAATGGGGGGTCTCTCCCCCATTTGGGGGGTTACAAAAAATTTGTAAGCAAATTTCCTCTCTCTCTCTCTCTAGAATCCTCTCTCTCTTTCTATTTTGTACTTGAAAGTGAGAATTCTCTACACATTTGCACTAAGACCCTTGACCAAACACCTTCACCTTGGAGCTGAGGTTTTTGGAGGCCTTGTTTGAGTTCTTGAGGCTGGTTTTAGCTCAGAATTGTTGCTGTTTGTTGCTGTGCTTCAAAGGTATAAGACTTTACCTTGTAAGCTTTGTTCTATTTGCTTGCTTTGCCATCTTTTTACACTATTTCTGGCCTGGTTTTCAACTACAAAAAACTCTAATTTTTAGGCCTTAAAATCTTGGTTTGAGCCTATTTTGTGTTAGGGGATTATCTCTCTCCTTTTATTCCTTAGCTTATGAGTTTCTTGCATCATCTTTTAACATACTAAAGTCAAACTTTTTGGCCCTTTAAACCACTGAATTCCAGGGGAATTTCAGTGGTAAAACTTGGTTTTGAGGTCCAAAATAGGAGGGGGTGGTCTCCCCTCCTTGTGCCTTGTTTGCAAGTGTAAATAGCCTAACCTGTGAGCATATTTTTCTACCTTTTTGTGACTTGATCTCACCATGTTTTAGGCTCTGATTTAGCATGATATAACTCTGTTTTGAGCTGTCTTGGTCATATGAGCCTTGTATTGCATAACTATAGTGCAAATGCCTTCACTAGCTTCGTGATTTAAGGCCTCTAACATGTTTTGCTTGTGAGGATTGCATGTTGTAGTATCATTTTACATGTGATTTCAGTGTGTATAGCTCTGTCACACTCTCACTTATTTCACTCTTTCATTACTTTTGAGAGTTGTGCCTTGAGCCTTGTTTGCGGGCTAACATGCGAGC